GGGGCCACCAAATCTGCTGGGATTGCCCTGATACTGTTAACCAGACAGAGCACGTACAGGAAAACTACGGACCAACATCCTTCATGAACACAGCTACACACACCTTTAGCGAACTATCAGCAAACTGAATACGATACTCTAAGAAGCCTAATGCATCACGACTGAGTGAATCCAACTCCAGGAACGCAAGGTTGGTTTAATATTTGGAAACCCATGAAAGCAACTTAAGTAACAGAATAAAGGAAGAAAGCCACATTATCGTTTCAACAGATGCATAAAAAGCATGACAAAAGTCAGCAGGATGTTACAGAATCCACAGATTTAAGTGGAGCTTTAAAGCTACGGGGCTCCCCGACGGACTGCACAATCAACTCCCTTCCTTGGCATTTGGGGGCCTCTTAAATGTGGGTGTTACCTACCCCAGTTACTCCACCCACTGCCCCGCAACACACACCCCGGGTTCGCTTACTAAGGGTCAGACGTTCCCTGCATGTTGACCTCCTGGCCTCTGATCCTGAATTCCTTCCACCCACCAGCCTTCCCCCCGCGTCTCTGCCTCCGGAAATTCCCTCTGGCTGCCCGTAAGATTTTTCACTGTATCTTTGGCTTTCAGCAGTTTGAAAAATATTTAACTTTTTTTTTTAAGTTATGTCTCCGGCTTGTGCTTCTTCAAGCAGTCTTTCATCTGTGGTTTCATAGCTTTCATTATTTTCGTAAAATTCTTAACCTTGAGTGCCCCGTTCGTTCTCCTCCGCTGAGATTCCAGCGGCAATTACGTTAGGCTGTGTGATGCGTCCACAGCTCGCGGACGCTCTGTTCTGGGTTTGTTTTTCCACCCTTTCCTGTCTGTTTCAGTTTGGGGGGATTTCTATGGACCTGTCATCAAGTTGACGGTTTTTCCCCCCTGGCTATGTCAAATCATCTGAAGGCATTCTTCATCTCTGCTGTTTTTCCGTTCTAACCTTTACGTCTGCTCTTCCTCGTCGTTTCCTGAAATGCCCCTCCCGAGGTCAGGAGGGTCCTGAACGTCCAGGCCCGACCCCGGGGGCTCCGCAGCCCGCCGTCACCCGGTGCCCTTTCCCGCGTCCTCCGTCCCGTTCCCAACGCCTCAGGCTGCCGTTCCGACCACTGGTGCTCGGAACCCCGCAGACCTCCACTGAGGCGCCGAGGCCGGGTTACGAGCAGCAGGCGCTGGGAGGGACCGCGCGGGGCTCTGGCTCGCACCCCCGCCCCACACCGCCAGGCCGCTCCACTCACCTCCGCCCTCCGCACCGCCCCTCGCCGCCCCTGCCCACGGCGCATGCGCAGCCCCGGCCCCGCCCCGCCCCCGACGGCCCCGGCGCGCGGTGCGTGTGCGGCGCCTAGCCCCGCCTCGCTGCCCAGGGCGCAGGCGCAGGGCGGGACCTTGTGGCGGACTTCCGCCTCCCCTGGGTCCGCTAGCTCTGGAGTCTTGGGGTGCTGCCGCAGCCGGGGAGGAGCTCCAGCCAGGGCACGCTGACTTGGCTTGCCTTCTGGCTGCTCCAGGTTCTCGGNAAAGCCTCACTGGTAAAGCAGGTCCCAAGCACGGGCCTGGCACACAAGTGCTCGAGAAAGCTCTGGAAGGTCCCCCAGGAACAACCAGGAAGAAGGTCAGCATCCCATGGCGGGAAGCAGCACAGCGGCCATCTGCGTACGACTCTTTCTATTCCTCAGCCCACGAGGAAGCCCTCTGACTGGCCCACCCTGCCCCTTGGCCTGTCCCCTACCCTCTGCTGGCTGCGGGGACCATCCACAATGAGGTAGACTAGCTGGCCTCTGAGAGCCACCTGGCCCCCTCACCTAGTGACTGTGAGGGATCCCCGGTCACCACGGCAAGGAAAGGCGAGATTCCCTGTCCTCACGTGTCACCTCTCCCATGATCACGCGTGTGGGGTCCCAGCCACAGGGGGGAGGGGAGCCAGCCCCAGCCGACACGGCTTACCCACCGGGCCCACACACACCAGCCGGCTGCACACGCTGCACCTCGAGCCGAGGATCAGGAACCCGTCCTTGTTCCAGGTGAAGGGGTCCTTCATGACGTAGCTCTCCTCCAGAAGCCTGTGGGGCAGCAAGTGAAGCCAGCACTGGAACCTCTGCTGACGAAGCTCGGCGGCCGCACGGGCCTCCCTGGGGCCTGCACACTGTGCCAGCTCATCGGGGCACGGACTGGCCCCTGTTCTGGGCTCCGAAACAGCCCCGTGGAGACAAGCACTCCTCAGCCAAAGGAAGGGCTGCTGCAGCTCAAGCCGCCACAGCCCCAGCCTGATTCACCAGGGTGGGGGCAGGAGGCGCGAGGCCTCCATCCAGGCTACAAGCCCTCCTTCCCTGCTAGCGTGGTGACAGCCACTCCCGAACCACCTACTTCCACACTGGGAGGACCAGGGCACATTACACCGGTGTAAGGTGCTGGCCTCTCGTCACACATCGGAAAGGAGACCCACCCGCGTCACCACCACCAGTTCCTGGTCAGCAGAGGAACTCGGCCAGAAGAAAGACGCCTTGTCCCCTGCCACTTGTCCCATGTGCGTTGACATGTTGGTCAACTTCCCCACAATGTGGCATTTGATGAAGGACGAGTAGAAGGTCAAGAGTCAAGCCTGGGGACCCACTGGCTCTACTCCAGGCCTTCTCTGGGCAGATCCCAGGAAGCTGGCCCTCAGGACTCACTCCCACTAGAGCAAGAGCCACAAGGAGGCAGGCTTTCCGCTGAGAACCAGCAGGAATGGCAACAAGGCGCAACCCAATGAGAAGGCCTCCGCGGCTCAGTTCACTCCCAGCTGCTGAGCTAGTCCAGCCTGAGTCACAGTGCTTCTAGCCCCAGCAGAAGGTGTTGGGCTCGGGGCTGAACCAGGAGGAAGGGGCTTGCAGGTTCTGGAAGAGCTGGATGGACCCTGAGCCTGGCCCCGTGCCTCCTAAAGTCACTCCGAAACATCCAGAGCTGCGCAGGGTGGGCCTGAAGCCAACACCCAAGCCA